AATAGGTAGCTTAAGATCGGCATATTGGAATGAAGAGTGTAAAGGTCACGTAGAATCTATTCATTTGCATGTTTCATCCATAAAACTTCGTATAAAACCTTTTAACTGAAAGAAAATCAAAGGTTAAGCTTGAACTCTTGAGATCATCCTAATGAGGAACATCTTCTTCGCACACCGATCATAATCCACGTGCGCCAGAACCTCTACAACACTCCCTAACAATTCACCTCAAACTAAACATCGAACAAGAAACAAGTTGACATGACGAGAACATGGACGATTTGCAGACGATAAACGAAGGCAACCATTTTCGGATCTCTTATTGAAGTCAACAAACTCGAGATTTCACATCTTCACCTTAAGCCATCTAAACCAACATTTTTGTTCACGAGCTTTTGTCCTTGTAAAATTCTGCACCTGAACTATGTGAAGTGTACGTCTACATCTCGTCCAAGAATGTTTTATGCCTATTTTTAAGCAAAATATGTAACTATAGCTATTACATATCCCTATCATAGACACCTGCGATCCAGAGTTTTGCGAATATCTCAACAACGTTGTGGTCGCTTAGTACTATGCCGTGAAAGTTGTAGTAGGCAGAAACTCAAAGGTAATACTAAAGCTATTAGTTAGCCCCTTGTTGTCACTAGTTAGGCACCAATGAACTACCGCTCATCTGAGAAGATTTGACGAGAATCAATTTGGCAGCTGTGAAAATACTTGGCACTAGTGGCCTTTAGTTCTGTAACAAACGATTAGTTGATCTACAGAACTTTCATGAAGCTGGACTGGAATTTTTTTATCTGCTTTCAAGTTGCATTGTTTTTATACTTAGTTATTCCTAACGTTCGTTACTCCACTTGTTAAATATTGCAGATGTAATGACTTCATCAAAATCTTTCAGTTGAACAAGGCTGGATTAATTCCACCAGCTTCAAGAAGTACGTTGCTGTTCTGGTATTGTCCTTGTATTCTTACTGTCATTAATACCACTATTATAATATTATTTCTGTTGCTATTATAGTTTTATATTAGCTTAACACTATTATTTCACCTTCGAGGATAAAAAGGATAAAGGTCTCTGTGTTGATCAACCCCTTAGGGATGCGCCATGCATTCGACTTCATTAAGGATCGTTTGGAGGTAATTGAATGCGTATCTGGGCTTTGCAATTACTCGCGGTGGACTGCCGATGTATCGAGCCAGTGCTGCTATCCTCCCAGACAAGTTTGGCACCAAATTGCCGACGCCGGAGGGATGGAAGGCTTGGCGAGCCATGGGCGTGGAGATTGATTCTACTTGTGCGTTACAAAGCGCCTCCAATCACTGCGCCACACGAGTCCTTTTTCTTATTATTTCAGCTTATTTATTTTTATCTTACATGATGCGATTTTTTAAAATGCGTGTATCCAAGCAGTTCTTGCACTCATTTCACTTCATTGTATCCACGACCTACGAAGCCCTTTGGATTTTGCCTGCTGTTCACCTGCTTGCTAAAGATTTCTCTTGAACATTAACGGCTGTTGACGACTTGTCAATTTGATTTTGCTGTGAAATCCTAAGATAAGTGTAGTAGAGCGCTTGAACTTTTACCAGGACCAATAACCAGCTCTATGGGTAATAATAATGAGACCTTCGACAATCCTGACAACTGATACGTGATATTGCCACGCAACCTGGCGGCAAATAAAGTATCGACTGCTGTAGGGTGCACTGAACGCCAAAAGTCAGTCATATTATATGGCAGGAATAAATCAACATCGGTCCTGTGTAAAAGGGTACGACCAAGTGGGGTTTGCCATTTGAGCGGTGTTCCCTCTGCTGAATTCTATACTATGCGACTAAAAACACTCACATCACAACAACGACTAGCTTAGAACCATCGACTCTAACCAACGCGGGTCTGAAGCATGCGAAGGTGCTAAAAGGTTGGTGGAATAAGACTTCTTATACCAGCCTCGTGTCAGGCCATTCATGTGGAAAATCCTGTTACCGATTTCCCGACCATCAAGAAATGGGGTGCTTGGTTGGCCCGGTACAGAGCTGAACCGAAGCCTTGCGCTTATTAAACGCCAGCACTTCCACACTCTACCTATGCCCTGTTATTAATGTTGATATTGTTTACTTTTTACTTTCTGCCTGCTTCAATTTCCACGGCAGAGTATTAAGCGAAATGCAACCACAACGTTGCTGAGATAACTCGTATATAATGCTGAAATATTTGCAAAACTCCGGACCGCATACACCTGCGGAGTTATATTTCGCAATATACCTTGCCATTAAAAAGAAGAAGGCAGTGAATAAAAGGATTAAGGTTGCTGAGATATTTGCAAAACTCTGGACCACAAATTTCTAAGGTGGGGAACGAACGAGCTGTTGTCCTTTCTGGGGTGTAACGAGTTCACCACCACACCATGCGGGTCCTTCGTTTCGCCTGTCTCTCAGCTAGTTCTATCGATCAGTGCCACCCGCATTCACCAATCAGCCAGATTGATCTGGGGGGTCCAAGTCGACAATGAACCCAGTTAAGCAGAGGCTTTAGTTGAAATCACAATGTTTTGTTCGTATTTTTGTTGAGCAAACGCGAGGTGATATTGTTCTTTATTCACGAATAAGCTGACGTTTCGGCGGATTTCGCCTTCCTCAGAGCCTGGAAAGGTCAAGTTGAGAGCAATCTACTCGGCCAGACGCCTCCATAACCAAACAAAGAAATTCTAAACCAAGATTTCAATCACGTTGAACACAACTTTGCACACTCACCGCTTTCTATGAGGTTTCCACTAAGTATGCCACGTAGAGACCAACCGCACAGAAATCACATGGAAGTATAATGTGCCCCTCACACCAGAAAAGCAGTTTTATATACTGCCCTATATACAGTCGGTTACGAACTAGTTGGCGTATAAGAGTGCTCAGTGGCATTTCAACTACGTTTACCGATTTCTCTAGACCCGCCCTTCTTAAGAAGCGTTTTATAGCTGCACTTACATCATTTGAGATGAAGGGGAGGATAAACGGGACATTTCTATCGCTAGAGTTGTCGTTTGGGGACCTAGGATTTTCTCCACACTTATCCTGAGCTACAGTTTCGTAGCCATTAGAAATGGCTATTTGCCGTGCCAAGTTCCGGGACTCTCTCTGCTCTCTTCCCGTGCACACGTTGGTTGCTGTTCGAAACATGTTTCTTATAAGCGCCCTTTTCGTGTGAGAGGGGTGAGAGGAGAGGTAATGAACCAAGATGGTTTTAATTGGCTTACGGTACCACTTCGTAATGTAGCCATTTTCTGATAGGTGAATTTGTACGTTCAAAAATGGAAGCCATTTTTCTTTCGGCTTTTCTCGGGTGAACTTGATATACTTTGACTGTGCGTTTAACAATTCGAAGCATTTGTCCATTTCCTCTTGTGTTGAGCAAANGCGCTGGTTGCTGTTCGAAACATGTTTCTTATAAGCGCCCTTTTCGTGTGAGAGGGGTGAGAGGAGAGGTAATGAACCAAGATGGTTTTAATTGGCTTACGGTACCACTTCGTAATGTAGCCATTTTCTGATAGGTGAATTTGTACGTTCAAAAATGGAAGCCATTTTTCTTTCGGCTTTTCTCGGGTGAACTTGATATACTTTGACTGTGCGTTTAAACTTTAAACATAGACCAAATACACCGCTAGGCACGCATAGTACCCAGAGACATAACGGAGTCGACTTTGAAGTATGTGTCACAATCCTCGCACGCGAATCAAGAGCACAGGCACGAAAAAATCTCGAGGCACTCTGGATTAATTCCAGAAATCCGAAAATGAACCGCAGGGAAGAATGCCTCATTATCACGCATGATATAGGGCAGTATATAGGACTGCTATTCTGATGAGAGGGGCACATTATATTTCTACGATTTCTGTGCGGTTGGTCTCTACGTGACATACTTAGTGGAAACCTCATAGAAAGCGGTGAGTGTGCAAAGCTGTGTTCAACGTGATTGAAATCTTGGTTTAGAATTTCTTTGTTTGGTTATGGAGGCGTCTGGCCGAGTAGATTGCTCTCAACTTGACCTTTCCAGGCTCTGAGGAAGGCGAAATCCGCCGAAACGTCAGCTTATTCGTGAATAAAGAACAATAACACCTCGCGTTTGCTCAACAAAAATACGAAGAATTACTTGGTCAATGCCTAGGTTAATAGAAAGTCGGTTGTGGGAGTTACAATGTTTTGTTTTTTATTTGCACCCGAGTACAATTTTTCACGGCAGTGAGGGTACAGCTTAACTGGGTTAGTTATCGATTTAAGCTCTCTAGATTAATCCCGTTGATGAGTGATTGTCTATGGCGCTGGTCGATAGAACTAACTGAGAGACAGGCGAAGCGAAGGACCCGAATGGTGAGCTGATGAACGCGTTAGCCGCCGGAAAGGGTAATAGCACGTTCATTCCCACCGCAAACACCTGCGGCCCAGAGTTTTGCAAATATCTCAGCAATGTTGTGGTTATATTATATACATTTTTTCATGACAGGATGTTATATAACATCCTGTCATGAAAAAATGTAGCAGGCAGCAAATAAAAAGTAAAATATGGTAATATTAATATTTTTTCAATTAAACACTTATTGTGTACTTAGCTTAGGCTTCACTTTCGCATCGCTGAAACTCTTGTTCTACATTATTACTTTGCTTATTTTTCAATACGCCACAAAACTTTGCTAAACGCTACCATCTAATTTTCGTATACTAAAAAGCTGACGCGTGTAGCGCAGTGGTTACAGGCGCTGTGCAGTACTCATAGGTTCGATCCCTCGTTCCAGGTTCCAGACTTGTCTAGGAGAATAGCAGCACTGACTCGATGCATCAGCAGTCCACCTAGAGTCATTGTCAAGGCCAGATATGCATTCAATCACCTTTAACGATGCTATTTGAAGTCGGATGCATGGCGCTTCCCTCAGAGATTGATCAATGCCGAGAGCTTTCATAGAGCTCTGAAGCTGTAAAGCATCAGAGCATTATACCAAAAATTTATGATGATCTCTTTTGATGACTTTTTTTTACGAAACAATATAATGATTTTTTCGCAATTTTTATCTCAGGGTAGAAAACTTTTTAGATAAGGTGTAATGGGGTGGTTTTGAAAAGAAACGTTTCACAGATAAAGTTGCGGAATCGGTTGCGTGCGAAAAATCGCAGGACTACGTTTGTCGTAACGGTGCGGTATGTGAACGTCACAGTGGTCGGACTGTATGCATATGTAAGCAAGGATTCAGTGGAAAGTACTGCCAATTTAGTGAGTGTCATTTTTCCAATATAAAACTTAGTTGGGGCCAGTCATCACAAATTGCTCGGTTCGTAACAATTGTGCTGATCATCTGCCACATTTCTGGGGTCCTTTGAGAAACACATTGCACATAAAGATATCTCTGATACCATTACGCTACAAATCTAGAAACTCATACTCTCCTTCGGCATGCGTTGATCCTACTTTTGATTTCTCTAAGACGATCTAGGTCTAAACAGAAGTGTCGGTGCATCGATGCATCGGTTCGGTGAAATGTCAGAGATTGAGACAGCTCTCTGCATAAATATGATGATATTCTAAGTTTACACATCTTTATTACAAAATTTTTTTTACTGACGTTTCGCCACTATCACCTACTTCGATAATAAAGAAAAAAATGGTGCTGGGACGTAAGAGACTCAATGAAGCTTCATTAATAGACTCATTAAGTTTATCATAAAGCATGATATGGTCTTCCGTTCCGAGGTTAAGTGAGAGTGGGTTTCGAAAACTATTCCAACCTGAGTTTGCTCACCTTCGTATCATCACGATTCTTTATCAACTTGTTCATCGATTCATGAACTTCATCGTTTGAGCATACTTGCTACGTAAGCCTGGATGGCTCGTGTTCACTGACAGCATGGACCCCAACACAATTTCCATTCATTCTTTCTCTCCCATTTCTCGTCCATCGTGGTGTTAATCGAACATGGTGACGTCGACGAGGCCCATTCCGTAGTTCCTTAATCGTTTATTGCGATTGCCGACAGATGATGTTGACCAGAGGCATTTCCGCTCATCGTTTAGGTGGTCGTCTAATATGACTCTTGCATTCTTTTGGAGTACCACTCTACTGGTCTTTCCGTTCATATGTCATCGGTCCTTCTTGTTATGTGAACAGCCCACCTGTGCTCTGCTATTTACATATATTTTTCTGTATTCCGAACATGATATAGATTTCGAAGACCTATTATACTCACTCCAACTAGATGACGTGATTGCCAGTTAACTCTGAGAGTTCTTGATGTGGTTGAAGTATCAGGCCATGCCTCTTCTTCGTATCAGAGGGTTGGGAAGATGTTGAGTGGGAAAGTTGTGCTCTGAGTTTTGGATCCAATTAGTTTGTCAGTGGTTTTCTCGAGTGGTCCGAATGCGGCCCATGCTGCTCTCCTTCATTTTTCTAATTCATCTTTGTGTTATTCTCCATTGCTAAGTTCCGATAAAGGTCAACCAAGGTTTTTTTTTATAGTATATTGCTCTCTCAATGGGAATTGGTCTTCGAGGAAGTCCACGACACCGAATAATCATATCTTGAAATGGAATGCTGGACGTTTTACGAATTTCTCAAACGGGACATTTTGACATTGCCATACGACACAATCTCAAACACGGGCAATTAAGCTTTTATATGCAAAAATAACATCACTACAACAATAACGACATGCCAATACCGAAACCATACAAGCGACATTGCGACAATAAAAGTGGATAAGCGAGGTCAAGTTGATGACTGAGAGATGACCTTTGGGCTTAGGTTAGCAGCTTTTGGCTTAGGTTTTTTGGGCTTTAGGCTTAGCAGCTCTGTCCTAGATTGGTGGCACAATATGGTGTGTGAGTGTGATACAGAATACAACAATCCGGTATAGGAGGTCGTATCGTTCTATAAAGGCACATATGAGATTATAATAACAGTGTGATGAAGCCAAGATATATATAAATAGCGTATTTGAGACAGTTGTTAGATTATCAGCGCATAGCAGTTACATGAGGAATGACAATAATTTTAATATGTCGATAATGCAGGAGTGTGATAGTTAGTCAACATCATTCGGGCAAATACAAATCGAAGAAAAAGTTAGCGAAGAGGGTAAAACAGGATGGGAAAATGATTTAAAAGGGCAATGACGATCTCTACAACTCGTCTCGAGATATGTGGCACATCCATGGGGACTCCATTTTTACAAGCGCAATATAGGCCAGCTGGAAGCAAAAACCAGATGGTAACGACACATACTACGACGGAATGAGAAAGGTGCCTCGCAATGATAAATGTGGCTGGCTGTAAAGACAGTTATTAGTAGGAAACATACGGTAGTATAGTAAATGGGAACTAATCGGGCAGAACCACAATGATGATGAGGTGCTTCAAAAACCGACTTCCCTTTAATCTCACCATGACCAATCAATACGTTTTCTTTCATTGACGAGCTAGCACGAAGTTGATAAAATAAACTTTATTCTGCTAACGTTTCAACGTCTTTGTCTTCCTCAGAGCCGATGACCTGAGTCGATATCCACAGTATTCATAGTCTCGATGTGGTGTCTTCGTCGTCGTATCAAGTCGGATCTTCTTCAGTGGAACACCGCTCGAGTGAGGCAACCACCCGGCGATGCTCTTTTATATTTACAAGACGGGTGCTATGACTGTCCGGTGACAATAAATTGTCCATGACTGGAAAGCCCAGTGTGCAAGGTACCGATTTTGGATTGCTTAGTTGAACCATTGTGATTTCCCGGAGTCGCGAGGTTAGACTAGCCGAAGCCCTCCTTGGATCTTCACTATAAGAGACAATCGTCGTGCCTTGTATATCAAAAGAATATTTATCGCCCTGGACTTGTTTAATGCCAGGACGGCGGTGATCCATAGTATTGGTTTGTTCTTAGCTAAGCGTCCAGATGAAAACGTCGATGTCGTTCTTAACTTAGGTGCATGTCACAGTGCAACGCCCAGGTGTACCTCCCGGTCACGATGAGGCGTCGTCTGCGCGGAGTTTTGAAAACAATTCTTTCTTTCCATTTACCCGTGTCTGACGAAATCTTTTAGCTTTACGGCCGCGAACTTGTGCTGAAGCTCTCTCGTTTCATGGACTCGGCGAAGGTCCTGTGCAGCTTGATGTTGATGGTTCTCGCCCGCTGTACAGTAGTGTTGCAGTCTGTCGAAATGGCACGTACGTTCCTTACCACTTACTAGGATACATAGTCAATAAATATTATGCTCCGATCTAAGTAAATTTTTAGTTAGATAGGCTTTCTTTGCAGTTTAGGAACTTTTTACTTCTTTTTTCTTTCGGAGGTGGAGTTGAATTTGAGATGTGAGCACTCTGCTGTGCACGACAGAGGGAGTTGGTGGACTAGACAAACATTTGTACCTTAGTCCAACGTCAGTTCTGTCTTAGATGAGCTTCTTGGTAGTAAGATTAGAATCCTAGCCCTTCCTTGATGACGGTACAGTGCAGAGGGTGACATGGCTTATTGGAAATAAATACGCGAGAGAGTTTTTTTTAAACAATTCTTATTGCTCAAAATATTTCAGTACTACGATTCCACACGACATGCCAAATAGAACTGTAATCAGGTCATCTGATGACCCCACCCATGCACTTTTCATCGTCTCCTACCGTGATTTTACCAATGAGAAGTTATCCAGGCAAGGCAGTTTTAAAGCTTTCACTTCCACAACCTCTTGCTACATTTAGGAAGCAGAAACTTTTCGATCTACAGTATTAAAATAAACGGTTCACACTTAAAATCCATGTAACTATGACGCAAGCATTGACGTACGGTCCCTACTTATAATATCGTACCTCTCGTGTTCTCCTTGAATCTCTGAAGTTCGCAGTTTGCAGAATTTCGATTCGATGTATTGTAGAGACTAGACCATCAAGACTATGAAAGAGCGTTTTCATGAAAGCCAATTGATTTCCCATGACTTTTATTAGTACATTCCATGATTTACTACATTTTTAGGCTCATCAAGGCTTCCGGATTGTGCAGACAGCAAGTTTTGTACGATTGCAATAGAGCTGCCCTTGGGTGAGAACTGTAGCACTTTACTTTTTAAACATTAAACGTGAAAAAAACTTGTATTCAAATTCCTAGAGACATCTAACGTCTTTTAAGACGAGTCCTGAATCGATAGCTACTAGATGTCAAATAACACCTTTTCTTCCACCTCTTTGATTAATTCATACTAGAGAAAAGGTTACACGGAGAGCTTAGAGTAGGAAATAAATGAAAAGACTTGCAAGCGGACAGCTGGAGAACCACAATGGTGACCTGTCTTTGTAACACAAGAGGCCGCTCAGATAAGCTTCTAGTCAACTTGACTTTTCCTCTGAGGAAGGCGAAATCCGCCGAAACTTCAGCTTATAAATAAAGAAATAATAACACGTCTTGTTTGCTAAGCAAGAATATAAAGAATTGTTCGACTGTTAATGCCGAGGTTAATAGAAAATCAGTCGCGGGGGTTATTATAAGCTTTTAGATTTTTTTTGTAGTTTCGAATCCAGACGAACATGGTTCAATTCGGTGGCCCGTAATCGTAGTATTGCGCAAATCGGACGAATTCCAAACAGCTGTCCTTGTATGGATATGGGTTGCATTGAAAACAGTAAGAAAATTATATTCTGTTTTATTGTGTTCACATGATACTTGACACTTGAACAGCCCGTTCTCACTGATTGTGCGAACCTCACCATAATCTTTATTTTTGGGAGATTTGCTGGTTAAGCCATTATGGTTCCCTGGAATTCCGAGGTCAGCCTTGCCACAGGCTGCTCCAGGTTTTCACCACCTGAGGCAGTCGCAGCCCTTGTGGATCAGAGGAAGATTTGCCACCATGGGACTTTGATACCAGGACGGTGGTAGATCCTGGTATTGGTCTACTCTTAGCTAGGTTTCCTGATGGAAACGCCAGATTCCTTCTCAGCTTGAGAGACCCTGCCAGGAGGATGAATCCCTCCGCTGTACATCGCAGCCTGACACCGAGGAACACCTCCCAGCTACGATGAGGCAGTAAACCGTTGGGAGGGTTTTATTGTATTCCCAATAAGAAATCATTCATGATTGTTCAAATTAAGTCATTGCTCTAGAAACTACAGTTTTCTCTTAGATGTAAATTTTCTAGGCTCATTTAAAAACTGTCCTTGGTTTCATTGCTACTTATTGATAAATATTTAATTAAACAATCTCTTCAAACTTCTATTGTTTAAGTGAAGTGCAATTGTGATTCAAGAGCGATTACGTTTGATTCTGGATATCTTTTCGGGGAAGATGCTGGTATAACAAGAGTGGTGAGGAGTTCTATTTTTGTCTTTTTTTTCAATGTGGTTACCCTTCTGTAGTTTTCGCTTCGTTCATTTTTTCAAAGTGATTTCTTCTGTGTTTCAAAAAGCACTTTAAAGATTTCACTAGTGTTACACTTTTAAAGACAAGGTTTGCTCCATTAACCAGACAAACGGCGTTGCTATAATACAAACCTAAATGACTTGGTAAATCAATTGTGAACGAATGTAGCGCAGTGGTTAAGGTGTCCTGCAACAAAAACCTAGTCTCTAATTCGCAGCCAAACCATGCCCATAATCCCTTCAGAGTCGGGAAATTGGTGCCTGACTTGCCTGAGAGGATAAAAACACTGACTCGATAGATCAGTAGCCTACTGCAAGCCATTTTGTCTGCCGAATACGCATTCAATCACCCTGGTGGTGCAAGGAATAGAGTCAAGTGCATGGAATATCATTAAGCGATTTATCAATGCAGAACGCGCTATTCCTCTATCCTTTCGTGAATTGATTAAATATCCTCTTAGACAATTTTCCAAACTGTCTTCCAAGTGCTAATGGGTTCATCATTTGTGTTTTTTCCTTCACCTTTTGATTCACCACTTCTTTTTCTTCATTCGTCAAACCCATTTCTTCTGCTTATTTTTTCTTCCATTGATCTTCGTTGACACAACAAATTTGCATTAACAGGTTGCACTTCACTCTGAAGGTGACGTGAATGGTCGACTAACAATCGGACCACTTGAGTGCAAAGGATTCGGTGAGTAATTCAAAAAGTTATTTAAATTGATATTTTTAGGCTTCTAACTGGCTTTGCGTTAAGGGAGGACATAAGGTTCCTGGAAGACTTTGAACAAAACACACTTTGCTATCATTCTTCTTTTCAGATATATCATTCAAATTTTTCTGTCGGAAAACTTTCAACATACTTCGTTTTTTTTTCTTTAAGCCGGAGATCGTCCTATTCGTTTCTCTAAGCCCCAAGCGCTGCCGATTGGTAATTGGCGAGGCGAACCGTTATCCCTACAGTTTCGCACTGCCGTCGCATCAGCTATCGTATTTTCTGTGCAAGACGGCAATGATGTAGTTCTGAATGCGAAATTGATCAATGGCAAGTTACTGTCTTTTGTTTTCTTCAGATACAATGAACCGAACCATCCGAACTATTCGAGAGCTTCTCACTTCCTGTGTGGCGAGGAGGAAACTAAGCAGGAAGTTAATACTCACAAACAAAGTGTACAGCGGAAATTTGGCTGTGAGCTATCATCGTGTAATAGTAAACTGCAGTTGAACGGCAGATGATCAAAAACAGTAAAAACGGCGACGAAAAAGAAGAGAAAATTCAAGTACATGCTTTATTTGGGTTTTCTTAAGTCTTGAAGAGGTGTTCCTGGGTGTCGGACTGCGATTTACAGCGGTGATTCCTGGCAGGGTCTTCCAAGCTAAGAAGGAGTCCGCATTTCCATCAGGAAGCCTAGCTAAGAGTAAACCAATACGAGGATCCACCACCGCCCTGGTATCGAAGTCGCGTGGTGGCAAATCTCCCTCTGATCCACAAGGGCTGAGAATGCCTGTGGTGATGACGACCTGGAGCGGACTTTGACCATGTTGACCTCGGGATTCCAGGGAACCACAATGGGTTAAGCAGCAAATCCCCAAAAAATGGAGATTATGCTGGAGCCCGCGGAACCAGTGAACGGGTCATTCAAGTATCAAGAGAGTGACGAATTTTGTAAAAAAAAAATCGTTGAACAAAGCATTTAGGTCACATGATTCGAGTGTCATTTGGAAATTCAAGCGTGACAGTGGAATCACAAGCAAGGTTTGTTAAACCCAAGATGATTCTTGATGTCCTGCTACTACAATACGTATTGATTCATGCAATCAACAGTTAAGGTTAAACGACACCAAATGGCATTTGTTGGTGTTGGAAATAGTTAGCGACGAAATACGACTTGGTGTCGATAGCTACAACGGCTTCGCAGAAATAGCCAACGATGTTTCCGATGGAGAACTGCTACTAAATGATGATACTAGGTAGGTAGCACATGTAAAAACCAGTGTTTTCGTCAATTAAGCCATCGCGCCGCAGTGAGGGTGTGTACCGCCTACATTTCTGTGCGGCACCTCTGTTAATGTTGTGGATTCCTTGACTTTTATAGAAGTAACTCAAAGGACCGACTTTCTATAAAACTCGGCATAGATAGTTGATATATTTATTTACATGATCTTATAAATTGATCTTCTTGAGCTGATGCGAGGTTGGTATAGGTCTTTGTTGTTGCTGTCGTTGTTGTTGTCGTTGCTGTTGGTGTTGTTGGTCGATGGCTGACGTTAGGCGATTTCGCCTGGAGGACTCTTGTAACACCACGGCTCTGAGGAAGGCGAAATCACTGAAACGTCAGCCATCGACCAACAACACCAACAGCAACGACAACAAACGACAATGACAACGTTGCTAACCTCGCATTTGCTCAACAAGATCAGCTTATAAGATCGTATAAATAAATTTTATGGAAGTGTTACTGTCTTTTCCTACCACTGAAACTGCATACAAGTTTTTTTGATAAAGATTTTCGTCTCAAAAAAATTCGTAATAGACGTCAGCTTCTACGAATGTTCTTTCTAGCGGTTTTATTGGATGCATTCGATCGGTTGCCGTCAACGACAACGTGATCGACATCCAGCACGCTGCCAAAGAAGTTGATGGTACTGCCGAACTTTGTTCACATACTCTACTTTTCACTTTCCATGTTCTATTAAGGTAATTTATCCTTTAGTGACAAATACATTGAACCGTATAGGTCTATATCTGAACTGCGAGGATCGATGTAATTCGAATTTCTGCCAGAATTCCGGTGAATGTATCGAAGACTTCGCCAGTGATGGTGTCCTTTGCCGTTGTAAATATTCGAACGTGCAGAGTGGACGAAACTGCGAAATCGGTTCGTTGTTTATGATAAGCATTGAGGGCGAAATCACATACTAAACGAAGAGCCCCATCTTACCCCCAGTGTCTCCACGTATGGTGCGGACAACTCGTCCTCTCCACACTACTCAGCTGGGCATAAGGATGCGCATTTTTGCTATTACTTACTTTTCAGTGCTTTTTAGTTTCGGTTGTCCAGTGAGAAAAGTGAAGATTTCTATGCCTAACTTCAAAAATAGGTGGTGTATGGTTAAATGCTCTCATAATTTTCCACCTTTATTTAAGGAGTTTATTGACCAGTGCAAGGTTTAGGAAAGACAAACGAACTCTTGTTTTCGATAGATATCAATCAAAACTCGTCCGTATCGTTCAATGGTGGATTCTTAAAGTACGAGTTGTTGCGAAACCCACTGGTAGACCAGACAGTGATCTCATTTCGAACCGATCAATCACACGCGCTCATATTGTTCGTCCACGATCATCACAATAATTTCATGCAGGTACAGTAATCCACTACTGACAGCCATGTCGTGTTACGATTAAAAGTAAGGTTAGTCTACGAAAATGTATGAGTATACATGTGTAGATGATGATAATTAGCAGTGATAATGATACTGAGGGGGCGCGCGTAACGTAGCGCTTAGAGATGCACTACAATACACAATGCATTGGTTGCTGGTTCGATTCCAAACTTGCTTAGGCTTCCTGAAGTCAGCAAATTGGCAACAGACTCGTCTGGGTGGATAGCAGCACTGATATCGCAAATTGCCTAGCCACAGCAATTCATTGTATAGGCCAGATCTTCATTCAGTCACATCCACGATAAGTGATTAAGCCTAGTGAACATTTAAGGAATCAATCAACGCCGAGCCCTTTACCACTGATGAATGATAACGAGAAATAATGTAAAACTAAATGAGCATACAAGGTGTGAGAAGCAGTATAAAGGTCGAAAGAACTACGTAAGTGATTTTATCTAGATTGAGCTCATTTGTAAAGGTACCGTTCAGCTACACTTGTCCGAGGAGGTCAATCTCACCTTATCGCTCAACAACGAGGCCATTGTGTCATCGTGTACAGTTCGTGCTCGCCCAGGCACTGAATTCAGCAACATGGAATGGATTCAGGTAGTATCACTTATAATGAATTTTAACTGAATACCTTCGAAAAACCTACGAACCACAGCACAGCCGCCCATATGGCTTTTATTTTTGAGGTTTTCTCTTGAAGTCTTTCAAGTGGTCGAATAAGACCTTTCCTTCAGCCGTCAGTGCAAGCAGCGGTCTATATTAATGGATTTCTAGGTGAAAGCTTTGCTACATTTCGACTGACGCTCTCCATGCTGATGACAATATACAATATCCACTCAGGCTTACTTTGAAATGTGTTTTGAGATGGAAACGTCAAATAGCTTCGAGTTTTGAGTGACACTGAAGGGGTCTCGACCGATATCGACTTGCACGTGAAGAAGTGAAATTGAAAAATCTGCAACTGCATTTAGTGCATCGATCACAGATGATATACTTCACACACTTCTTAGGGTCATAAACACGCATTTTGTTGACCCGCGCTCAGGCTACGTGTAACACCTAGAATCTCTTCCATTGAATACTCACACTCTGCCCTTGTGGACATGTTGAGTATTGGATTGATAATGGAACATTGCGGAATCCTGAATTAACCATAGCAGGCCATTCATTGTCTTTTCCATCACAAGCATTCGTCAATAATTCGAAATCGGAGGGTAGCTTACTGCTTTGCAACAATACATTCAGGGAATCAACGATTCCTGGAGAAAACTAGGAAGCTGATTGGTGGAAGACGGTATAGCGGACCGAAAAATCTACACTCCATGACTGTAACCTAGTGAAATTGTTTCCTGGGAACACTGTTCTTCTATTGCTAACTTTCTTCTTATATTATTCCATATAAAGAGCAAAACTTACTGGTTAAATCAGTGCATGTTTTGGATTACCATCGAGCACTCAACGCAGCTGTCGACGTTGACCGTTGACGACGACGCGTGCTCAATTCATGCGGCACGAAAACTCTCTGAAAAGCCTGTGCAGAAGTTCATCAACGTGTTTACGGGTTGGTCCATCACTGACGCCTTATTTCTTTGGATTTCTTTACATACGACTTTCTTCAGAATATAATAGTTCCATATTCCATGAAAATACAAACTTGTCAATAGCACTGCCTAGGAAAGTAGAAACATGGAAGATAATGTTTACTTTTTTATTTTCTGCCTGCCACAATTTTTAACGCCAGGCTGTTATGCGAAATACAACCACAATAATGATGAGATATTTACAAAACTCCGAACCGCAGGTGTTTGTGGTGGCGAACGAACCTGCTGTTACCCTTTTCCACCACACCATGCGAGTCCTTCGTTTTTCCTGTCTCTCAGCTAGTTCTTCATTGATCACTGCCATCATGAATACCCGGAAAGGGTAATAGCTCGTTCGTTCTCCACCGTAAACACCTGTGGTCGGTCGGGAGATTTGCAAGCGTCTCATTGTGGTTGTATTTCCCTTGAAAGTACGCCGTGACCAGATGACAACGGGTTTACGTCCAGTATTCGATATTGTGAGGAACCGCTGTGTCTGCATCATCGACTCTTAATTCTTCAATTTTTTTAGTTTGTTTTATATTTTAAACTCTTTTTTGTTGGCTTGAACGCTGCATGAATTTGCTTTTATTAAAAGTAACCTGTTTCATTAGAAAAGTTACTTTGGTTAACTAAATAGCAACCATTTCATTATACCTTCTTCTTCGTTTTCTCTATATCTTCTTCTCGCCCTACCACCCATCCCCTCTCTCTACTCCCATTTTCACCTCCCACTGCTCCTCTCTCTGTCGGTTTGCGTGTCTCTCTCTCTCGCCCTCTCGTTCTCTATCTCTCATCTCATATCTCCTTCCTTCTCTGGTACACGCAAGCATAAATTTCATCATCATTGTTTCCTATAAAACCAGAAGTAATTTTTTCTGCAATAAAATAATGGAGACTTTCTGAAATATTCATTCAGATATTGTAATCATTCCGGTTGGACTAAACTCACCAGCGGATCCTAAGCCGTTTCTCTACACGTTTGTCGGCGGAGTTGAGAGAGAAAGTCATCCAACTGGTTGGTGGTTTCAAACAAGAGTCCTAAAAGTCAAAAATATCTGAATGTTTTTATTACAAGAGCAATATTCAGGTTGTTATTGAATTCAGCTGCTAGTGATAAAGTGTAGTTCAACATACTTGAACTTGAACTTTAACTTGAATGACCCGTCCTCACTAGTTGTGCGAGCCTCAGCGTAATCACCATTTTTCGGAGATTTGCTGGTTAAACCATAGTAGTACTCCTTGGAATCCCAAGGTCAGCCTGGCCAAAGTCTGCTCCAGGCCGTCACCACCACAGGCAGTCGCAGCCTTTGTGAATCAGTGGAAGATTTGTCACCATGTGCATGCGACTTTGACACCAGGACGGTGGTGGATCCTGGCATTGCTTTACTCTTAGCTAGGCTTCTTGATGAAAACACCGCAATCCTTATCAGCTAGAGAGACCCTGGCGGGTGGGACGAATCCCCTCGCTGTACATCGCAGTCCAACATCCAGGAACACCTCCCAGCCACCATGAGGCGGTAAACCGTTTGGAGGTTCAACATAACCTCCTTATTTTTTGCGTATTGATTACCATTTGTCTTAAATGGGCCGTTCTCTTATCACATATAGTCTTCGGCATTTCTTCAATGCGTTTTTCTAGCCTGCAGTGGTCATGTATTCGGTGATAGGTTTTGGCTCAGAGATCCGTGTTTGCTAATTGTTATTTCGAATGCTGACTAAGCTTCGTTTTTCCTGAAATCTGGAGATAACTGTGCTAGAGTGTTCCCAAGTCTTCACTTCCTCACTGCGATCACTTAGAGGCTGCTGTGGATCAGAGGGAAGGTTACTAGCTTGCGATGCTGATTCTTTTAAGAAGACAAAGGTTCCAACGATAAGACGACTGGCTGATTGAGGACAATGTAGCAGACTGATTTTTTAACACTCTCTCGACGAGTGAAACCTATAGGTGACATAGGAATTTTGCGGGTGTTCCGATTTGACATCTAAAGGTTTCATTTCCTTCCGATATGACTTTCTAATAGAAAGTCGATCCTTGGAACTGTTACAAGATGTTCAATCCGATGGTTTATTTCAACACATTTTCTTCCACTTTTTGTGATGTACTGGTGGCCCGTAGAGCACTGATGTTGTGTTAAGCGTTTGTCGGGAAAGGCCTATTCTGCACTTAGAAATATACAAAAATCGTTTCCCGAACGAGTTCACTCACCAAAAGTTTGTGTGTTAAATCACTAGTATTTCAATTTTAATTGCTATAGTGTACAAAATGAAATCCGTTCAGAGCGAGCGGGTATATGGAACGCTGATTTAGAGCCCCATCAGTTGCAAAACAATGTAAAAAAGGATAAAGCTCTCTGAGGAGCTCAGGGATACGCCATGCCTTCGACTTTATTAAGCATCGCTTGGAGGTGACTCAATGCATATCTGACCTTTACAATGACTCGCGGTGGCCGACCGATGTATCGAGCCAGTGCTGCTATCCTCCCAGACAAGTCTGGTACCAATTTGCCGACCTGGAGGGAGAGAAGGCTTGGTGGGCTATGGGCGCGAAAATCGATTACATGTATGTGTTGCAGGGCGCCTCCGACCACTGAGCCACATGCACTCTTACAAAGCAATTTATAACTTTCTATTTACTGCTTATTATTTCTCCCATAGCAGGATCAAATATGAAATACAGCCTCAATGGTGCTAAGATGTTTGCAAAACTAAGACTCCAGTCCAGATTCGAACCCGACATTGCCCCTACCAGGAGTTACGTGAATCTAGCCTGGCGCCTGAGTTTTGCAAATATCTCAGCACCACCTTAGTTGCAAAATGCTACAGAATCCTGACTGTGATGTGTTTCGATGGAAGAACATTATAACATATATAGTAGATATTCGAAAGCAACATTGCTATGAGTGAGATTATTCTGAGGCGTTGTTGTAAGCACAGAATCGGAGGTAAGTCCAACATTCACATGTCTCCATGCGAGATTTCTTTAATCACTCAGCGATATGTGACCATATTAAAATTCAGCGACATTTGAAAGCATTTTAGGGATATTGAGCACTTGCTTTTGGGATGGAGCATCCTGAAAGTACACGATCGCCTTTCACAACTAGTTATTCGCACTGTAGTAATAGTGTAACCGTACGCTTCGATACTGAAGAGTTCATTACACGTTTTCATTTCCATCTCTTGAAGTCATTAAAGAGCTATGTCTCAGTTGCGTTATGTGCCTCCAAATCTGCGAACGTTCTAGTTTTCGAACTAGCAGGATCGTTTAAGAAACTGTGGCCATCCAACGAAGCGTGTGGAGTAGTTGTTCATCAGCTGTTCGCCATATGTTCTCTTGATCAGTGGTTTACCATTTTGTCATACATAGCTGGAAAGTGGTTTTGGATCTGAAGCTGCTATATAAAGCAGCGCTTTATCGACTCAGGTCCGAAAGTCCGATTTATAGTGAAGTTACGCGAGGAATAACCTCGGAATTGGCATTCTAATAGCCATGGAGTAACCACTTGAGATAACACTAGTACGTCTTTCAGGATTCCAGGAAGCGCAACTACTGTGCAATTAAAGAATTAGCAGCCGAAATGAAGTTGTGTTGAGCCCGCATCATTCTTCGTTATTCGTGAAGACGGGTCATTGAAATATCCACAGTTTCTTCGTTTCGTAGCGTGGTAGTGGGTAGAATATTTAAGACGGTTCTATGGTTCTTCGCCCGATCTACCAATGTGCGATAGCTAATCTTTTCGGATGCGTTCGCGGAATGAAAGTTGGCGGTGAAGTGATCAATTTGCGTCTTACAGTTCACGGAAATCGGCCAAGTGATCCCAGTTAGTGATTTTAAACCTGCGAAAATCGTCTCCGTATGAACTTAACATGATAACGCATCTTTTATCACAGAGGCTATTCGATCTGGCTGTGATATGGGATGTGACACACTGGACTGTAAGAATGGCGGACATTGTTCGGTCGCGTGGCGCAAGGGAGAAGAAGTCTCGTGTGATTGTTCTCGGACGAGTTACGCTGGTCCGCAGTGTACTATTGGTAAGTTGTCGTGTTTCTTAATGCTGAATTTAACCTAATCACACATAATGGAAAATAACAGTTGAGTCAAATATTTTAAAGTGAAACGGCGACTGAAAGTAGTTTCAAAATGTCCGTCACGACTAAATTACTGCAGTTCTGATTCAAAAGCACTATTTTAAAATAAATTTACTTGAGTTTAGTAGCTGTTGGTGCTGTGTATTCCAAACTGAAGAGTGTCAGTGTTTTTGTCTAAGAAAATGAAATGCTGCGTGAAGTTGCTTATAAGATCCAATGAGTTCTCTCTAATTAACGGCGCAGTGGCTGGAGGCGCCACTGTGACACACACGTGGAGTCGATCTCTGCGCCCATTGCCCGCCTATCCTTCCATCCCTCTAAGGTCGGAAAATTGGTACCAGACTTGTCTGGGTGGATAGCAGCACTAGCTCGATACATAGGCAGGTCACCGTGAGTCATTGCAAAGGCCAGATATGCATCCAGTCACTTCCAACGACACTTAGTGAAGTCGAATGTATGGCGCATCCCTCAGGGATTAATCAACGCCGAGAGGTTTATTTCCTTTTTTTTATGAACTGCTGGAAATTCTACTTCACGCGTAGAAGTCAAGAAAAGGATTTCGGTTATTTCGATGAAAAGAATTATAAATGTGCCGTTTTCTTGCTCAGCAATCGCGAGGTTTTTAAACAGCATACATTTACTTCCATAAAAACACAATACAATACAACGCTAGCTGACGTTTCGGCAGTATCGCCTTCTTCAGAGCCTGGAAGGGTATACTGATATACAATCTACTAGGCCAAACGCTTCAATAACACTTACAAAAAGACGAAGAACTCTCCGGTAATTACACAATCAACAACTTCTCGAAAAACCCACCGCTTTTTCGTGACTTCCAATGAGGAAGTTTAGAACAGCTGATTATAGTCGCATGTGGTTGACGACTGCACCATCCCACATCAAAAATCGATGCGAACGTACGAGATCAGGTCGCGTATGATCTCCGGGCATTCGTCCCTGCTATTCATTGTAGGGCTTTTGGCATTGATCCAAAA